CTCTCGGTCGCGGAATAGTTTCTTTGTGTTTGATTTAAAGTTCGGCTAAAAAATGCCACGGGCTGCTGATTTTGCGAAAGTACCGCTCCTACCGCATAATCCGAAGCATCCGCTGAAATTTCTAAATTTTCATCCTTTTCAGGAAATTTCAACACAGGGGCTTGCGTTAATGCTTGTTTTAATTTTTCGAAAGCACTATTGGCTTCGGCCGTCCACCACGAGAATCTTGCCTTTTTCCTTTTTAATTTTAACAATGGCTCAGCGATAGCCGCAAAATCTTTTATAAAGGACCTATAATATGAACAAAGTCCTAGAAAAGAAGAGAGCTTCTTTGCCGTGTTTGGAGTCGGATACTTTTGTACAGCGATTATTTTTGATTCATCTGTCTCGATCCCTTTTTTTTGAGATATTTTGTAACCTAATATTTTAATTCAGGGGCTGCAAATTTGCACTTTTCGACATTAACTTTTAGACCGGCCTCATTTAATAAAGAAAACACCTGTCTTAAATCCTGTATATGTTGGTCGAGATTATCACTAGTAATAATGATATCGTCTAAATAGATAAATGTGGACTTTCCAAGAACAGGTCTTAACACAATGTCCATGCATCGCTGAAATGTTGCTGGGGCGCCTGAAAGGCCAAACGGCATACGCAAAAATGCATAAGTGCCAGACTTGGTTATAAAAGCAGTCTTAGGCACGTCCTCAGGCCTAACCCCTATTTGAAAATAACCAGTCGTTAAGTCTAAAGTCGTCATAAATTTGGTTGATTTTATGTTCCTTAAATTTCTTCTTCTATGATCGGTAACGGATATACCGGATATTTCGTTATGGAATTTAATTTACGGTAATCAATAGCGAATCTCCACCTTTTTGGATGCTCCAAAGGATAATCATTATTTTTCTTACATAAAACCACCGGGACTAGCATAACTACTTGAGATGGGCGTTATGATCTTTTTACGTAGCATATCGGTAATATGCCATTCTATAATTTTTTCCTTATTCTTATCATACCGGTATGGTTTTTGACGAACTGGCAATGCATCTCCGGTGTCAATACTATGGTTAGTAACCTGAGTAAATCCTGGAATATCACTAAATAAGGAAGCAAATTCACTTACCACTTGTCGGATTCTATCTTGCTCGTCATTAGGCAGGTGGTCAAAGATTTAACCTTGGCGGTTCAACCTTTTCTACACGCACTGGTTTCATCGTCAGCTTAAGGGACGCTTGCATTAAAATCCAGTGTAGCTTGTGCGTCTGAAAGAAAGATCTATTCCTAGGATTAAATTGTGCTTGCAAATTCTTTACTATAAAAAACATCACCTTTACTTGTTCGTCCTTGATACGGATGTACAAAGGTACTTTACCTACGCACTTACATTGTTCTCCTTGCGCCGCTAATACTGTCGTATTATCCGCATTATATATGCGGTATTTGCGAAAATACTTTCTAAAAAGATCTTCTGCCACACAGGAACACTGCGCGCCGGTATCCAGGAGTGCGGTGGCCGGGATATTATTCACCAAGACTTCAATCTTCGGAAGAGTCAAATTTTTCACCATTACTGTATTTAACTTGTAGGAAGAGGGGTTTTCGTGGCCTTCGGATTTCCGCACCCTCTCGTCAGCAGAAATCCGTTTTAGTTTAAATTATTTTTTCCTTTCCGGTGCTTTCCTTCTTTTCTCCACTGGCCTTGAGACTTTTTTTCCTGGGTTGCTATTGAACTGTCGACGTTCGCCGGCTGTTTTTGAATGCTCGGTTTCCTTGCCCACTGATTCGCTTTTTTCTCCGTAGCCATGTGCTTGAGTTTGCTGTAGTAGTCTTGGCGTACCAAATTGGTTTCGCTGTTGATATTGGCGTCTTCTTTCGACGTCCGCCGTTCTTCTACTTTCAAACTGGATTGCTAGCTCAAATAACTTTTCCAGTGTAGTCGGATTTCTTAATTCAATAAAGTCTTGCACTTGGGGTAGTAACCTCGGCAAAATCACTTGAATTATTTCAGGATCCGGACGGTTTCCATACAAGAGCTTGAAAACGTGAATTTTTCTTAAAATAAAGCTCGAGAGGTTTTCGATTCTTTGTTGATATATACTGAAAAGTTCCGTTTCTAATTTCGCACGATCCCTTACAACAGGGAAGGCTTTTAGTAGGGCAGTCTTGAAATTTTCGTAAGTATAGGTGGGACTTCCTGCTTGACCCAAGAGACTTCTGCCTATACATTTGAACCAGTTAAGCGCTTGGCCCCTCAAAGCGCTGGTAGCTAAGGTAACTTTTTGAAACTCGTGCACGGGGTAGAGCATGAAGTGGTCATCCAATTTTTCCAAAAAACTGGTTACCTGTGAGTTTCCATTAAACGTTGCTTCTGGTTTCATCGAAGCGCGCATGGTCTGGACGATGTACCCAAATCCTTCCAGGGCGGCAGCTGGCATTTCTGGATTCTGAGCCGTTTTCTGCAGGCAGCACAGGTTCTTCTTGAAACTCGGCCATGGTTATTCTTCGTCGGGCGCCACTATCAGGTTCAATGTTTCTTCTAACCTTCTTCGGAAACATACAATGACCTGACTAGGAACAGAGAGCTTACTAAAGCTATGTTCACTAATTGTAGTAAGTAGACAGGATACAGACGAAGGGTATACAAACCCTTTATTTTTTTCTTATATATACAATGACTTTCCGTACTTCGGAATACAATGACCCTCCACTTCGGGGTCTAACGTAAAAGGTATAAAAATAAAACTAAACTCTAATTTAACTTTAGAATAAGATTGGCCTTATAATAACAGGAAGCGTATGTAGCACAGAGACTGTGAACACTACAATACGTTTAATTTATCAAGAGGATTAAAACCTCTGGCCTGGAAGGCAAATAGCAACTGCGTAACTTCTAAGGTAAGCGGCCTGCTTCGAACTCACTGCTTCCTCTCTCCTGCTTGGCAAAAAGACCACACTTAAATACTTGGCGTTCGCCAGACAACTTTGCATAAAATCCTTCACGCTTATAATTCTGGCCGGAAGTAGAAAATAAGAAGTGATAGTAAAGATTTAAAATAAAATAAACGTTAGTAAAACTTAAGATCCTTACAGACTAATCTAATTATTGAGATGTTTCATAAGAAATACATGCATATTGGCCCACAAGGCTTACTGTTTATTGTTGGGAAGGGTTTCAGCCCCTGAAAGGTTGAAACATTTGCAGAAAAATAGTACATGAGTGTGTCGTATGCTTTAAAGCAAAACCAGTGCCTGTCAACAACTTATGGGTCAACTCCCTGAAGAAAACTTCTCTTGAGTTGGTAAAAGACCTGTCTAGTCAAGCATTTATTGCAACCTTAAAGCACTTTTTCAGCAGGAGAGGCAAGTGTGCACACATATGTTCAGATAACGCAACCAATTTTGTTGATAGTAACGCAGAATTAAAGAGATTGAATAGGCTAGTCAGCAAACCAGATGACGAATTAGGTAATTATTTATCGAGTGAGAGCATTGATTGGTCTTTCATTCCCCCAGAGCTCCCACGAATTAGGTAATTATTTATCATGTGAGAGCATTGATTGGTCTTTCCTTCCCCCAAAGCTCCGAGTCATGGTGTCTTTGGGAGGCAGTTATCAAATTTGTTAAGTTTCATTTGAAACGCGTATTAGGTAAATTGAAACTAACATATCAGGAGTTTCTTTCAGTAATTGCTTATATTGAAGGGATTTAAAATTCTAGACCCTTGCCTTCTTTATCATCTGAACCAGAGGATTTTGATATCTTGACTCCAGTCCCTTTTCTGATAAGCAGACCTATCACTGCTACTGTAGAACCTAATATTTTAAACGTTAATGGTAATAAATGAAACAGTTGGCAAAAATTGACTAAAATCGTACAAACAATATGGAAGTACTGGAAAAATAACTATTTGAGTACAATGCAAGGAAGAACTAAATAGTTCTTTGAAGAGGAAAATATTAAAATTGGAACTAAGGTAATTTTAAAGACTGAAAACGTTCCTGTATGTAACTGGCCATTCTGCAGAATCGTAGAGATATTTTTAGGTAAAGACAACAAAGTTACGGTAGTTTCAGTGAAAACGAAAAGCGGTATTTTTAAGAGATATTAATTCATAAAGTTTGTGTTTTACCTATGCCAAATTAAATTAAAAAGTATGTTTGTAATTAGTTATTGTGTTTTCTTATTATAATAGTTGATATTATGTTGATGTTTACAATTATTTACCTGTATTTTGTATTGTGACACTGTAAAATTTTCATTGAAAGATTTACAATTTTGAATGATTACAATATATTAAGGCGGACGGTATGTAGCGTCTGCGCATCTCAATACTTGCATCTGCACATGCGCCTTGAGCTTTTGGAATTTTTGTTATATTAGAATGTGAGATAAGAGTCTCTGAGAGAATTTGTGGCTTCGAGAGGCCATGAACGGTGTAAAATTGAGAATAAAGTGTCATATTAATACACTCCACTGAGAGTTTATTATAGTATAGTGTGTGTGACAACACATATAAAATCTCGTCATATTTATTAGCAAATACTACATTGCAACATTAGCTACTTAAAAAGCAAAGAAATTTTCAAACAATTATTCGTTTACTCTTTTCACTAAATTTTATGTAATAATTACCAGACCACTAATACATAGCTGATTCATGTTATCGGTAGCATTGTATCATGTTTACGTTTGAAAAACCCGTTCGGACACCGTTCACTGCAAATAATTAATACTAAACTTGTTGTTACAAAAAGTGCGTTGTTTATTTACTGTGCAACAAATTATAGTAGAGATCATTCAGGATATTTCTTCAGATTTCAGATTCAGGATATTTCTTCATTTCAGGATATTTCTTCAGAAAGACATATGTTAAGACGCACCTTTTAATCAACAAGATATGTTCAATAAATTTGATATTTGTGCTTACTGGATATATTCTTACTACTATTCACTCGATTTGGCTAAAAATTTGAAATATTTTCTGATTTGTCCATTACCTTGAAGTATATAATCTTCATTACCCACATGGCCTTCATGATCACATATGTGGTCTTCGTGATCCACATATTCTCTAGCGACATGAGCACCTGCGGAGGCTCCCATACATCCTGAGCTTTGTGCACCTACTTCGCCTGAGGCACCTGCAATAAGTTTTGCGTTGTCATACATTTGATTAATTCCGTAAACCTGTGCGTTGATCGGGCTTGTGCAGCTATAGAGGAAGAACAAACGACGTTTTCAGTAAATACACAATAAACGTTTTAAATAGATATATGATCCACTAAAAGTGAAACTATAACGATCGCAAACAACGCAGAGAAAATAATTTTTTCTACAGGCGAAAAGCTTTATGCAAAGAATTCTTGAGGAAACACTGTAAGAAGAAAAAGCTTCTCGAAAGTATAATCATTGATAAAATTAAATATAAATCTGGAAATCGCAAAATCTCAAGAAATTAAAAAAGATTTCGTTACAAAAAGTCCACGATAGAACTTTGCAACTTTATACACTGAAGTAAAAAATGAACCAGTTATTAAGGAATCACATATAGTTTTTATGGAATTTTAAGCGAGATATAGAAACCTGCAAAACACAATTCAGAGTCAAGCGTATGATTCAGGACACTTATGTATAGAGAAATCAACTGCAGAAGTGATCAATGCAATTAAATTTAAAACACGTTGTTTAATAACGGACATGTATTGTTTACTTACAAGGAAGAAAACTATACGTAGTTTCTTCAAAAGCCTATGATGAAATATAATGTTTAAAACACAAAAGTAAGTTTCAGGAGCTTCTTTGTAACCAAATAGAATTATTTATTAAATTACATATCTCAGCATTCTAAAGAAGTCAGCTTTCTAAGGACGCATTAATTCACAGAATTAACTGAAAGTAATTAAAATATTTACACCGGGTGTTTCATAAATTTGCATTACCTTGCAGTGCATAGCTTTGTTGACCTACATAGCCTTCAGCATCTGCAGATACTCCCACACGTCTTGACATTCGCGCACTTGCAGCGCCTTTGGCAAATTTGGCAGCGGCTTTTGCCGCTGCAATATATTTTGTTGCTTCATCCTTTTGATTAAGTCCGTAAGCTTTCGCGTCTGCCTGGGCTTGCTTAACTATAGAGAAATAACAAAATATTCATTTAAAATTGAATATATTAAGATAGTTTACATTGCGGAGAGAAAAGTATTTTATCATTTGCAGGTGAAAATATAAAATTATTTGATAAAACCAGACGATGGAAAATATTTGCCTAATGCATAACCATGAAAAAAACAAATTTAGAAAAATGTTACCTTTAGACAGAGCATTTAAAACGTTTTCTCACAGAAGCCAGCAAAATGCTTCGCGACTACAAACATTGAATTGAAAAAAAGAACTTACTAAGCAGTAACTCATGCATCCTGTTATGAAACTTTAAGCGAGATATAGAGGACCTCCAGTTCACTGTCTCAGGGTAATTTCGTTCAGAAGATTATCATATATACACTGAAAAGGTGGACTGGGCTACAATTTATATAAATACATTTATTACCAAGTTTTATGATAAGCGTCATACTTTAATGTACTGTGCAATATGCTACATTTGAGAGAATTTTCAAGAAGATTCTTGAAAAGCATGTGCTATGATGTACATTGAGTCAAAAACAGAAGGACAGTTCTATATTTCCCGTTCTACTAGGCTGATTGATAAAATTCTGTTTGCCTTTTTTATGTCTCGAAAGAGCGACATAGGCTATATATCTGATTTATACAGTGTTGGACAATTGCTATGGATGGATTGCAGTAGCAGCGAAGCACAAAATGGAAGGCAGCAAAATCTGGACATTATCATAAGTGCAGGTTGTACATAATCCAGTAAGACCTGCTTTTTGGATTGCCGAAGTTTCTCGTCACTCGATGCCCTGATGAAAGAGAAATATTATTTGACACGTATTGATCTTTGTTGATAAAAAGCAAAATTTAACGGTAAAGAATCAGTTAAAAAATTTGCAATTTTCTATGTGTCTTCTCAACATTACTTGGATGACTTTACGTGTGGCCAGATTATTGGCAAAATTGAAGCTGAGCGAAATATATTAAAACTACCTGATATTAATATCATCTGATTATTGGCTATTTCATTTCATTCAGATCAGTGTATCCTACTTAAAAAACTGTTTCGACAGAGTTCTATGGGAATAAATTTTATACTGAATTGTTTATTAGAACAATTATATTGCTTATTACTGTGCAACATGTTACATTCTCGAGAAACTTCCACGCTATTTTAGATATTTGAGGGATAATTCCTATTGAAGAAAAATGTTCAATAAAATGGATGTTTTTTCTTACTCGAAATATTATTAATCACCGGATTTGGATAAAATATTTAAAATATTTTCAAGACTGTTTTCTGATTTTTCTAGTATCTTATAGTCTTTTCCCCTATGTAGCCCTGGACTCCTGGAGCACCTGCAGATGCTTTTATAAATCTTTAATTTTGTGCACCTGCTGCGCCTGAGGCACCTGCAATAGCTTTTGCAGCTTCATTCTTTGTGAGCTCATCCAAATGGAAAGAAAGAAGAAATCACTTTCCTTAAAAATAAATTGCAAAAATTCAAAATACATATTTCACAATTTGAAAGTCAAAACATTACGATCGCAAACATTTTGCGGAAAAGTAAGTCATTTACGGGTGAAACCTTATAATAAAAACATTTTTAGAAACAATAGCAGAAGTTAATGTTTTCTAATGAAAAAAATTATTGCGATACGTGATGTTTCCACCTTTGAATTCAGTATTTCGCATGCGCGCGCAAAACAGAGTGAACTCATAAGAAAAGAGTTTCTCCGAGCGCTTGACGAGCTATGATGTAATCTATGTTATTGTTGTTAGTTAATGTCTTAGAGCACTCTCTAACTTTAGTTTACTCGCACTTTAGTTTTGATATTTATTATAACGTTTCGTAAAACTTGTGCACAGATTAAATATAATAGAAAACGCTGATTCTGCGCTCGCTATGTTTTTCGTTGTGTCAACAGTTTCATCGAACACTGTGGATAATCCGGAAATAAACAACCGAAGTACCCCAATGATTCAGGTAAGTACTGGTTTACTTACCTCCTATTTGAATACTTTCACCACAGAGAAAATATATTAATATTGGATTGGGACACAATAGAAATAATTACGTAGATAAAATCTCCGAATTCATACGTAAAGACATTGAAACATTGTAGTCTCAAATATGGTAAAATGGCACTTTGCGATTTTAAACAGTAAAGTACGTAATAAAGTTGCTTTTAAAACAATCACTCATTTATTATTTGTATTGAAATTTAAGTGAGGTATTAAAATCTCTCCAAGCCAATTCATTGTCTAAACCTAATTTTATTCACTGAGAAACTGGACTAGAGCAGTTTACCCTGCAAATAAATTTGAAACTAAATTGTTTAATAAGAGACATGCATTGTTTAGTTAACGTACATTGTTAGTACATTGTTAGTTACGTATGTGACATTCGAGAGAATTTTGAAGAAATTTCTTCAAAAATATATGCTATGATGTACTCATAAAGTTCAGAAATACATTTTAGTAATTCTGTTTGATTATCTAGAATTGCCTAATAAATAAAATTCTTCTGCTTGATAAAAAGTTTAATTTTTCAAAATTAATAAAAAGGAATAATAATTATTTTATATTTATGCTGCTTGTTAAAGAGAAAAGTGTTTTGTTCTTCCTGCGTAGGTAGTCAAGCTCGGACTGTGTGCTGAAATTAATCAAAACTATGGAGGTTTAGACAATGAATGGTCTTGGAGAATTTCTATAGCGCTCGTCAATTTACGTGGAAATAATGAATGAGTGATTGTTAATACTTCCTTGTAGTTTTATTTTTTACTTCATTTTGCTTTGCTTTTATTTTGTTGATCATTATTGTTGCTTTATTTTCTACTACGCTGTGCAAAGTCCCAAAGCTTTATTTTGCAATTTTTGAGACGAGAAGGTTTTTCAATGTCTCTGTGTAAGAAATCGGAAATTTCACTTCCGTTATTATTTCTTTCCTTAGGAAAATATTATTCCCTACCTACAATACATTAACGTATAAATATCGGTTTTGAAGCTTTAAACATTGAAACAGAAAATAAAGCAGTTAGCAAACAATCACTTTTTTACTTTTCATACGAAGTTTTATAGGACATGTACGAAATCTCTGAAATATAGCTCATTGGCTAAACATCCTTTCATCGACAGTAATGAATGACTTTTATATTTTGAAAGTCGACGTACTAGCACTTACTACGAATAAATATGATACTAAGTTGCTTTTTAGGATAACTGAATTTTTTATTACTGTTACAGAACACAGAAAATTCCAGAATATTTCATCAAAAAACATGTGAACATGTAGAAATAGGTTTTAATAACTCCTCTTAATCAACAAGAAATGTTTAGTCTTAATTAACAAGAAATAGTGTGTAAGAAATACATTGTTTGTTTATAACAGAATATATTCAAGTATAGAAAACTTCAACCATAGAATTTTTGAAATTTGTATTTCTTCAAAGACATACAATTTAAATGATGAACTTGATTTTACCAACTCTTCTTAATCAATTATAAATTTTCACTCAAGTGGATATTTTTACCTACTGAAAAGATAAAATATTTGCAATTGGCTAAAAATAGTTAAAACATTTATAGGACATTTCCTGATTTACTATCTTGAAATCTGTTGTTTTGTGTACCAACATAAACTTCCGTTTCTTGACACCTTCCAATATTTTTACAAATCTCCAATATTACGTCCCTGCAACCCTTGAGGCACCTGCACTCACTTGTATAGCACAGTTTTGATTAATTCCGAAACCGTGTTCATATAGCTGGCTGGCTTTTCCCACCACGTTTTGTTAGTAGACAGTTACTTAATATGTAGGTTCAGCAAACCGGTTACAAACTATTAGGAGAGATAGAGTAGACTTAGAAGGTGAAGAAACACATAGCGATGTATGGTTGGAAACGCTTTCCTAGCGCGGGTAGTCACGACACAAAACACAAGAAAGGAAGGACACAAACAGAGTGAGAATATGTGTTTATTATTCTTAATGTAGCGGAAAAAAAATAAAAACAAAAACAGAAGAATGTCATCAAAGAAGGTGTTGGAATTGCATTCGAAATATATCATCAACATTGTATCGGCAGGTATGGTCTGGTGCATTGGCCAGCAAGTTCACCCGACCTCGTTTGCGTTGACTAATTCCTCTTGGGGGTACGTCAAGACTTTGGTGTACCAAACTCTTGTTAGAATTGTCGACGAACGTTTTGCACGCATAATGACAGCTGCTGGGAAAGTCCCGGACATACTCTGTATTTTCCAGAGCATCAGATCTTCCATGTGCTGGGGATATGTGGCTTGCATCAGGGGCCAGGCTCACAATTTAGAACACCTTCTTTGATGTCGATCGTTCACTATTTTTGTTCATATTTCTTGATTTATGCTGCACTAAGCATAATAAATATGTTTTCTCTCCCTGTTCATGTTCTTTCTTTCTTGTTTGTTACTGCTGCGCCACGAAAACCTTTTCTACCATGTATTACTGTGGGATTTTCCATCGTCTAGGTGTACTCCATCTCTCCCGAAATTTGCAACAGATTTGCTGAAACATCCTGAACAAAACATTTTCTCCTTCCTTTCCACATGCCTTTGCAGGGTAGTTGGAAGCATACTCGATGCATATTCGACAGGCCCAGGGTTCGAGTCCTAGGGAGGGCATTGGACATTTTTCACGTCTCCTGCTTTGAAAAAGAACCTAATCACTGACAAGATAAAAGAAGGTAGTGGACGATAATTCGTCACCACCAGGTTTTGGCGACGGGGTCCCCAAATCTCCAGTCGTCTTTCACAAGGGGGTTATATAAAGTATTTTTTTTTCTCCATTCCGCATACCTTCGTGGTGTAACTGGAAGTATATTCGACGAGTATTTGAGAGGTCTAGGGTTCAAGTCTCGACGAGAGTACTGCACATTTCATTTGCTTCAAAATAAATTAATGACTCTACAAATATTTACAAAGAGCTTAAAAGTTGCTTTCCCGAAAGAAAGGTTTCATGTAAATTTTGTGAAGAAATTTCTTTTCTACCATGTTACGTATTTGAAACGTGTTATCAGCATTTTCAAGGAAAATTGCATTAGGCTCATGCACAAGTGTAATACTGCGTTTATTCCTAAAACATTGGTGCATTCTAGTGAACTTAACATTAAACAATGATTGACAGAAAGACAGAAAGATTAATTTTAACTTTTACTGAAAACATTTCTAGTAAGATTTGCTGCATAGAAATATTTCCCTGCGTTAGCGTAATAAAATAATTACGAACCTGCTCTGCCCTGCAATAAGCTTAAAATGATAGTCGCTTGTGGAAAGTTGCTCAAGTTATGGAAATATTATTTAGCGATTTCGCAAAATTGACGAGTTTGAATATTTTTATGAGAATTCGATAATCACTATTATATAATAATAATGACGTCATATCGGACGCAATCGTGCATATCGAGGCAAGCATGCAAGTGCCATGGGTGGACGTCCAGCTGGCGTATGAATAGTATTTAAAAGGTGGCATTTAGTAGCTACTAGTGGCACCCAAAGGGGATAGTGCTTAATGTCTCTGACTATCTCACCAAAGGCCCTGGTTGAAATCCCGGAGAAGGAATGGATGTTTATAAATGTATAGTGTCTTTTGCGGCTCGGGGGATGTCTAAATATGTGGCGAGCTAAAAGTGCTCTCGTGTGGTTTGGTGGCAAGGAAACAGGGTATGGAGACCCTCGGACTCACCTCCCGAAGTGTTTTCGTTAAAAATTGGGTTAAACTGGGCAAAATCGTTCTGTCACCTATATGGCGCCCAAGGCCAACAACAGGTGTAAACTTGTACACCTTACCGTGATGAATTTCCTGGGCTTGTTGTGATTCATATAAGAGAGATTAGTCACAACAATAACAGCAGCTACGGGTAATCTTCTTCTCATGGTAATAATGTATTCTGTCCATAAAAATTCAGCATGTACTTTATCTTCGGTCAATGTAAAGGTTAATGACTTACGAACTGCTAAAGAGTATGCTTGTCTTTCCGCAGGTTGAACGACATTCGAAAATACTGGAAACGTCCACCCGACACAAAAATCTTTCCGATATTGGTGGAAGAACGCACGGCAGTCTTCCGTCAGCACAAGACGAGGCAGTACTTTGGGGGGGGGCGGAGAGACTCCCGAGTTAAGCATACACACGTAAAGGGAGTTGAATGCGAGCAGAAGTATTGTGCTCAGGTACTGTCAGAAAGACTATGCGAATTTCTCTTCAGCGACGCGTTGATTTTTGTGAATGGTTCTTGCAACAACATGAAGCCGATAGTGCTTTAATTACATATGTCTTGTGGACGATTTAATAATGCTTCACACGTTCTTAAATGACCACAACTGTCATATGTAGTCAGAATCCAAACCTCGTGGAATCTGGTAGCAGAGATATGAGATCCACTTATCTTTAAATTTGTGGGTCTGTAACTAGACAATCTCTCGGCTGGATCATATCTGCTGCCTGAACGGCTCAAGGGACATTCATATATCTACGTGATATATTAGCCGATTTCCTAGATGACCCTTCGCGGCAATACATACGCAGCTCTCATGTATTTGAGTGGCTGGATATTGAATACCTATGGCGTTGGATTGGACGTGGAGGTCAGGTTTAGGACTCCCCAATCGCTAGATCTGACACCTTTTCTACCTTGTATCTGACCTTGTATTTCTTTGTATGCGACAGTCTGAAGGAACTTGTCTATCACAAGCTAGCTACCATAGAAATCATCATGACGTAATTTCTCGTCTTCATGGTGAGTGTACTTTCACGGATATCGTGCTGCTGCAACGCGTGCAGTCAGCTATTACATGGCGCGCATGCTTGCCTCGAAATGTGCGGTGATATTTTGATCTTCCTTCGTAAACATAATAAAATACCGATGTTCATGTTCCCACTAAAGTTTTTTTCGTGGCATAGCATATGATGTCATATTTTTTCTTTCGCATTTATCTTGAAAACTGTGGGTCTTACAGATTTATTTCTTTGGGCAATTTTATGTATTCTAAGTGAGGAATTTGCTTTTGTAGAATTTGGGCCGTCTTAGTGCGACAAACCGTCAAAATTCTTCTTAATGTTAAGCATATAGGGTACCTATAAAAACAGGTATTGCGAAGAGGAGCTGATATATATAGAATTAAACATTTAATAAAATGAAAAATACAAATAAGCTCATTTTAAAATTTAATACATCATAATTAACGAGAAAAAGCGCATTAGGAATATTTACTTAAGCCATAAAATATAACTGCCATACGATGCTCTTTAGAAAAGGAAATCTGTACACAGTCATAATCCCAGATATTTAAATTCAGTCTAAAAATACAACCGCTTAATTTTTCTCAATTGTTAATTTTCTTCACTTATCGCCTACTCTGGACACAAAGGTAAGGTAAGGATTAAGAGATCAATTTTATCTGATGTTCTTACTCAGATTTCTTTTTAGCATATAAGACAGTTTTAAGGAAATCAATTACGAAACGTTGCTGTTATCAATGCTTGTTTTGAATTACCGGCAAGCTCAGGGGAGTGTTTGTGTTATATATTTGAGTTTATGTAACCGTCAGTCTGACGTGTTTATAAATAGGTTTATTGTAAATCGTTGCTTTGAGTTTGTAATCCCAGTAGCTAGACGTAGACAGGAAAATAATTCGTCTGAAAATCTTAACGGTTTTGATAGTTTTGTCACTTGAAAGCAGTGTAAAAAATAGCTTCAAACTTTTATGTAACTTGTAGACTTTTGCACTTATTTAATAATGTAGAGACGTAATTATTTAAAGCGTAGCTATGTGTTATTTCATAGAACTCTAATGTATACTGTTTTTAAATTTATATCTGGGAAACGAAGCATGATAATTTCTCTATTGCCAAAATACAAAACTTGAGTATTGAAATCAATAACATATTATGCCCTAAAAATGATAATAAATTCAAAAATGATTATTTGTTTATTTATGGGATGCTTCCGAGAGATATCTGCCTCAGATGACCGGATGACCTTTCTTTGGGAAGCTGACTCGTATTTAATTTACACATAAGGAAGAAACCCGAAAATTCCACTCAGCCGTTCCTTTCGTCAAACACCTAACCCTGTATAGTTACTAACTAGTCCAACTTTCAAGTCACAAATAGAACATTACATAATATGAATAATTCATAAATACCAAAAATTATATTTATGACATGTTACAAGTAAATATAGCTAATGAAAACAAAATACTCTAAACGAAAACTTTCATTTTGCTAGCATTTTCTAATATATTAAACATTGTCTCATATGAACATTTCATTTAAAAATTACTTAAATAATTATTACCTGCTTTATAACTTTCTTCATCTCTTTCATTATCTGGAAAAGGGGAAAGAAGTATTTAATATATGCTCGAAAGTGTATGTATGCTTAGTCACATACTCATAGTCAATCCATATACAATAATGTGTAAAACCCAAGCAACATTCCTGATTATAGACATAATTCCGCAAATAAGCAACTGCGACATGTGAAATTCAAGGCACAATGTAGCACTTAAAGGACGAGAATTTTTTTTAAATGGTGAGTCCAAGCCTTTTCCAGATGTTTGACTTTACTACGACTGAAAGCGCTGGTCACTTTGTTATGGAGGCACTTAATAAGTGGGTCGTATGAAGGGACGGACAAATATATCCATCCATCTCCGGGATTCGAATCTGGGCTGTTCAGTATGGTAGTCAGAGTCACTAACCACTTTCCCGCCTGAGCGGCAGGACGAGAAAGTATAGTAACAAAAATGAATAGGGCTCAAAACAATTAGGAATAAATAGAAAATGGTTCCATTGGTAGTTGGTATAAAAAACTGTCTCGCAGAGAATGAAAACAGAGGAACCAAACAGCCTTAGCAAGAGATATGACCTCTCTTAACTGCAGTGGTTTCTTTGCACTGTCTGTCCGTACTCATTACCAGATTACCTAACATTTCTACGGGTAAGAATTCCCATTCTTCAAGACGCAAATGGTTTCAGTTGTCTAGTGTTCTCAGGAGTGTACGGTCTTGCTACCAGGTGTCCCCGAAAGCATTCCGCATAATTTCAAAGGGCTTTCAAGTAGTGGAGCACTCTGTCGAATCCTTTCTGCGGGTATCTTCATCTTCCAGAAGCTGCTTCATCAAATGTCTTTTGTGTCAGTGCATTGTTATGCATAAAAACAAAGTCAAGATGACTCTCATCGGTAAAGAGGACATGATTCCAGTTACTGTATGAGTTTGTTTACCCATCGGTAAAGAGTTAGGTGACGTCCATTTACTCACCGGCAAAGAGGATTTCAAGACTGAGGTATCTGGACGATAGACGTCAAACTACGACCCTCCTCAAGCTTGCTTTTCGCTATGTTTAAAAATTATGTTTTCGCTATGTTTAAATTTTGTCTATATTTAAAAGTTTCCTGGTGTTTTCTTGCAGCCATACTGCACGTACAATCTCGCTTTCACCTTACAGACGAATGCCTGGAAATGCGCCTTCTTCTCTTCCTTTTAACTTATCTTAAACTCGCAATGACTTCCCGCATTCTGCCCTAACGTACTCTCTAATGTAATGGTGCTGATACATACAATATCTGCACATGCATCATTTTTTCTACCGAGTTGATGTTTATCGTAGGATCTCAAAAAGCCCTTTTCAATAATTTCATTGTTGTATGTTGGAAAAATGCGCTCTGTTGCTTACGTTTTGCACACTAGTGTATTATATGTATATACAGCAGACTTTATATGTGTATACATGTGTACATTACATATATACTATATATACATATATACACTACATATGTGGTATATATATTTATACCAGTAAAGCAAGGACTGATGACATATATCTGCAAGGACTGATGACAAGAAATATCCTTCACTAAACGATTGTTGTATCGTATATAATGCAACATTCAGCAAAACACATTTAACAATATATTTTTTAAATACTTGAAGATTAAAAATAGCATTAATTTGTTTATTAAGAGTTTGAATTATAAGAAATTGTCAAATAATTATCCTTTAATTAAGCGAAAAACTCTTCTAGTAATTTTTCATTATTTTTTAACGTACTTAAAAGTGAAAATAAATAAAACAATTACTTCTAATGATAAATAAATTAATTTTTTTTTGATAACTAAATTGTTTCAGGTGATATCCTGAACACTGATATATATACAGTTTTCTAAAATTTTAATGCATGCAAAATATTGGGTTGCATTATATTCTTTTGAAGGTTTCTCATTGCAAATGTTGCAACTTAACGTGTTTCGTTTTGTTTTTGCATGTTTGTTTGTTTACAGCTTTAGCAAATAATCACATGTCCCGATTTAGGAGAATTTTTGCGAAGTTTAATTTTTACAAATTTGCAAAAAACGCCTTCGAATAAATTCTGTACAAAACTGATATTTTTATAATGTGCAACAAATTCAAAGGTTAAAGATAAATTTTAGATAATGCAAGTGACTATTACAAAACATTTACATTTAAGGTAAATATTCCGGAATATACATAATTCGCTGTTTATTTAACAAAATAACACTTTGCGTTTTTCTTCTTATTTGGTGAAGAAAAGACATGTTATTTCATAGATGTCAAGAAATTCTTGAACACATATTTCATTAATGTATTCTGCACATTGGAATCCATTATGCATATGAAAACTCATTCGATAAGCAACTTTCTTTAATTAAACAGAAGTTGGAAAATTTTAAACAAAAATCGTTTTTTATTTCAATATCTTACTAAACCTTATGCATCACTGGTTTCCTGTACTTGCTTTGAAAGCACTGTATTTTCTGTTGGTTCAATTACTGCAAAACCTAAAAGGTATCTGGAGGGAGGAATTCAATTTTTAGAGTTGTTTCTTTTTTTTAACCCAAAGCTGCTTTAGCCCAGAAGGGGTATTAGTCTCGAAACGCCATTTTGTGTCGACTCACTAAAATGCATTGTATTACTTTTTGAAATTGTTGCTACCAAATATTACCTTCCTGTATTATATTTAAAAACTTTAAAGACCTAAAGTCCAAGAGGATAAGACCTATGATAAATGAGGTTATATGATAGCAAAGCTACAGCAAGATCATACGAATTGCTTCTACATCACCATGAAAGCTACAGGTATGAACACAAATTGCTTTGCAAAAGAAGAAACGTTTGCTGATCACACCAACTTCAGTGGCTACGTCCTTGCATTCATTGAAAAATTAGTATATGTATCGGTCAACTGATTATCGGGAAAAGGCTTACAATAATTTTCTGTGCACATGAAAGTGTTGTGTAATCACACATTTCTTTTTTCTAAACCTTTAAGACAAAATCCCTTGTTTAAAAAGAAAATATTATTTTTATACGATTAGGAAAAAAATCTAGAATTTTTCTTAAAGATCACATCACTATATCAAAGGAAAAATAAATCAGCTCTAATTTAATGAAATATTCACAAATAACATAGAGAAAATGCATGGAATTTATAATGAAAATTAAGCAAATATGAATAAAAGGGAAAACTATTTCTTACATGCAAGTAGACGCCTGGTGCCTGGTTTCTTAATAATACCATCTTCACCTAACAGAAAAAGATAATAATTAATTGATAATTACGTTATGAGTATCAAAAACAAAGTCCAACATTAAGAATTAGCATAATTAAAAAAAAGCTTTTGCAGTTCTAGTTTCGATAATAGTAGTTGAACTACCTTCTTCGGCTGCTAAGTGCAAATGAACCAAATAAAGTGTGAAGAAAGATAAGATAAGAAATGTTGGACGGAAGTTAAGCTACTGGCGTCATCTATCGATGAAACAAGAAAAACTAAAGCAAAATTCCTTTAAAGGCTGAAGGTAAAGATGGATTGCAATAAGGTCATTAACTAGAACAGAAACGGTTTTTTTTTTTTTTTTTTTTTTTTTTTTTTTTTGACGTGAAACGCTTCTAAAAACGTTTGTCCAACTTTACTTATCTTAACTTCTGTCCAACTTTCTTATCTTATCTCTATCCTTATCTTATCTTTCATCACAACTTATTTGGTTCTTTTGCACTTAGCAGCTGAAGAAGGTAGTTCAAATACTATCGAAACTAGTACTGCAAAACTATTTTAAAATTTACCCTTATTCTTAATCTTGAACTTTGTTTTTGGATTGTTATTCAGCGTCATATTTAAACTATAATATGAGTAGTTTAGACCTATGCACAAATGGAAGAATAATTGTAAATGAAAAACTACATCTTGTTTGGATGATAAGAAACAAGAAAATGAAATTTAGTTATCAAACTACAAACGAAATTCAGATGATTTTTAAACTGATAAAAATATATGTAATAATAAGTAATTAATGTAATTAATGAATTTATAATATATTATTAGTGAATGAATATTTTATTAATGAATGAATAATACAAATAAGATATTTATTGTACGTAAATTGTATGGCATGAAGACAAAATGATTAAATTTGTAAGCAGTTTGGGGGTTTACAAAAGTGCGAAATTAGTAGAAAGAGTTGCCACCCCTGGCAGCTAAAACAGTCCTTACCCGGTTAGGCATGGCGTCGAACGGGGCTTGGATGGCAGAACCGGGCAACTCATTCCATGCTGCTTCAAGTCTATGCCTCACTTCATCAGCGGCATTTGCTGGAGAGGGATGGCGGGCCAGTCTCTCAGCACCACATGATCAGATGTTTTCACTATGGTGACAAATCTGAAGACCGTGCAGGACAGGGCAACAATTGAGTATCCCGTGTATCGAGAAAGGTCAGAACACGACGTAGAAGATGTGGTCTTGCATTTTCTTGTTGGAAGATGGCGTTTGACAGGCCTTGAATATAGGGCACAACCGCCAGACGTAAGATGTCAGAAGTGTACCGATCTGCATTCAAATTACTGTCGATCTGAGCTAGAATAGTGCGTGTCATGTACGCAAAGGCTGCCCAAACAATCACACCAGATGCAGGCCCGGACAACATGTGGTCTTCCATTATCTTGTTGGAACATGGCGGATGGCAGGCCTTGAATATAGGGCACAACCCCTAGACGTAAGATGTCAGAAATATATAGGACCGGAATTCAAATTTTGGTCGATCTGAGCTAGAGATGTGCCTGCCATACATACACCCAATAGCTACCCATCACACCGGGACACCGGGTGCAGGATATCGAATGCAAGGAGGTGACGCGCTGTCTCTTCGGAGTACCCAGACAGGTACACAGCCATCAGAATACTGCACGCAGAACCGGGACTCGTCTGAAAAAAACCACAATTTGCCACTCATGTATACAACTTTGTCGTTCAACGCACCAGATTAGCCGCCTCTGTTTATGCTGCATTTGCATCATGGACTATCAGCACGGCGACCATTATTTCGGCATTTTGTCCATTGCCGAAATAATGGTCGCCGTGCTGATAGTCTATGATGTTGCAAACGCAACGCACCACACATGATACTGGTTGTAATGCAAACATGTCCATTTCCTGACTGATGATCAGTAAGATGGTTGTATGGTTTTGAAAGGCTGACATCACAATATGACTATCTTCTCGGGTGTTAATCATGGGAGCACGTCAAGACCTTGCATGCCATTCAGTAGGACCCCCAGCAATCCATTCATTCCATATTCGCATGACAATTGTTAGATGTCGACCAGTGCGACGGGTGATATCAAGGAATGATAATCCACAATCTCTTTAGGTAACGATCCTGCCGCTCTCGAATTCCAGCACTTGCTGGTAAGCATTTCTTCTTATTATTTGATGCATAGCACGATATTCTGAGCAACCCCGACCTCGCAAAGCGCTCTACGAATGAGAAATCCACTACACAACGTTTCTTTTATGAAATGAAATTCAAATCATTTGCTATCCCAACATCTTCTTCCTTTCATGTGATTTTGACATTCGTCAGATAATTTCATCCTGGTGCTGCAATTTTAATGGCCAGCAGTATACATTGTAACAAATATGACTTACTTGAATGAAATCATATGATTGGTTGTTCTAAATATCTAGAGTGACAGTTTACATGAAGCGGGACAAAACGTCGTACACCGCATGCAAAATCTTGTACACACGGAATATTATCAATTCGATAATGTTACACGTGATCAAAGGAATCCTAATGTTGTTTAACAGAAAATTAATTTCTGTGAATTTCGTACTGATGTCATTCATTTCTGTATGTGCATATTTTATTACCGAAATATTCAGGAAATTTTCCCATGCCTTCACTGTAGTTATTGAGCCGTTGTCAGTTTCAACAACGCCAAAATCTCTCCTATCCGTGACTTTCAGTTATCTTTTTTCAGAATTAGTTTTCCCACGCCAATGTTGGAGCTGGCATGTATTCAGGCCTTTTTGCATTCTTATTCCTTGGTCCATTTCGTACAAATTTCTATAGAGAACTACAGGCATTTAGAGTTGCAACTGAACAAATTATTGTTAGAACAATCCAACTCAAAAATATTTTTATTTTTTCAGACTCCTTTTCAGTCATTCAACTGATTTCTGCGCATGATATAGCAGAATAAAAATTTATTGAATCTTGCAGAAGAACTCCTTATCTTCTGTATTCAAAAGTGACGATTATTACTTTTACATATGATCCGTGCGCACAATGGAATTACTGGTAATGAATGGGATGATAAACTAGCTAAAAAAGGAATTGAAATTTTGCAATCAAATAATAATGACGCCCCATTTACATCAATGAAAAAAATAGCAAAAAAGGCCTTGAGGAAATATTTTGATGTTAAATTATTTGAAGAAATTAAGAACGAGTAGTGGGGAGGATTCAATTTGTAATATCTTAAACTCTTCCAGATCCATCGCAGTTGCGGCGTTTTATTTGGACACCGGATATGATTGTCTCGCTAAACATCCGCACTGCATTGGTTCTCTTGTATACTTTGTGCAACCAGAATTTTGATATGGGCACAGATCATTTGCTGAAATGTTTCTCGTTGAAGGATGATAACCTACACAGTCGATATTAGCGGGTTAGAAAATTGATGCAGTTGACAATCAGACTAACTTATTATTATTGTTGTTATTATTTTTATTAATAATTAATGTATTCATTTGTTATTCCATTTTCCAAATTTTTATATATACTTATTATTATTGTAATGATGTTAATCACTCTTTTGTCTTTTTGTAATCCTATTTTTGTATTTTTTCATGCTGCATTCTCATGCATCTTTGACGTATGGAGGCCAGTGATTTATAATAAAGTGCTTTTGCAATTAAAAAAAATTAAAACTTCCCACGTCTTTTTAAGTCTGCATATGAGAGTTGGTTTTATTTTGTGTATTAGTTTTAGCTGAAGATATATTCAACAGGGAGAGCTATTTTATATTCACCCTGCATATCACTGACCGAAAATTTGGCGCTTATTCCAAAGACACTATAAGATAAAAAAATGTTTAGCATGTTTTATCCATAAAATATAAGTGCTTATTTGTAATTTAGCTATATTTACAAAAGAATTTAAATCTTAGGTGTGTGTTATTTTACCTGTTAGAAATGTAACTCCTTAAAAGTAAAAGTTTAAAAATATTGAGCAGTATAACGAAATTATATGTATAAAGAAAGGGAATTTTAATACCTCTGAAGCATACGTCATTAATGTATTTTTTCCTTTAAATATATAATTACAAAATACATAATACTGATAATTTGTAAAATAATTGTTACTTATAATTAATCCTCTTTCAGAATTGCAAACCGTTGTTTTTGAAAGTTTTTAAGGTATAAAAATAAAAAATATTGTCGAAAACATTTAACATATATTACATATATTGCAAATTATTTATTGATATTTAACAGTATTTTGTATACAAAACGCAGACCCTGAGCCATTCCTATATATACAGTAAGTATTTATTAAGTTTAAATTTATGCTAAGCGGGCAAAAAATATTAGCAAGTTGAGAAAACATCTTTCACGCATTATAATTTTTTTTAAAATTTCTCAAGTACTCGTATAATGACTCTGTAAATTGAAACTGGACTAATTTAAAAAGAATTGCGGGAAATAAAATAAAGTAATTTAAATATAATAATGCACAGTGATATAATAAAAAATGGAAAACGCTGTATAATTTTCAAACTCTTCTCGTTATCAAGAGAAGGTCAAGTCATCTAACTGTAATATGTCTTTTTCTTGGCTTAATCTGTTACATTCCTGTGTGTTTAAAATTAGTTGGGGCACTGAATTTAATTTATTTAAATATTGTCACTGAAAATTTGAATCACCTCCACTACATATTAATTTTGTCAACCAAAAGTAAAACCGATTAATAATAATTAAAAAGAATGCAAAACTTTCTCAATATTTCAAAGCACTAACTGCATGCTCATTCTGTACATGTGAATTGTTGTAAACAAATAAAATACTTCAAAATACAAAAATAAATTAATCAGGAATTCAATCCATTAAACTGATATAATAAATTTAATTCGCATCTAAATACAAATGTAAGACGTTAACTGCAGTAAGAAGAAAATAGCCAAAGGGATACGTACTTACTGCTTTGAACAATTTAATAAAAATGATGGTGGATGCAATTTATCATAAAAAGAGGAGACAATTTACGGGCAGGTTACTGTTCAACTTGATACATATTTCCTAAATAATATCCTAGCAGCAATTTACTCAAGATATGTTTCCAAGTCACTTTTTACATAATTTTCCAGTTTAATCATTTAATTAGTATATATATATATACTAATTAAATGATTAAACTGGAAAATTATGTAAAAAAGACTTGGATATATATATATATATATATTCTAAAGAATGAAAAGTTATAACCATGGCCAAAAACATGTAATACCCTTCAATATCCCTCTAAATATTTCTCGTATGTAATCATCACGTGAATTCAAACTTGCATGCACAAAATAAATGAAAATAGATGTTCCTTCTGAATCGAACCATATCAAATAAATATTCAAATAGAGCTCAAAACACAATATAAAATCTACACATGATCTATCATTTAAACAATGATTTATATACTTTTATTACTTATGGAGCTGTTAAATAAACGTACAGCATTATGAACAAACAGCTCATTTCTCATATAAAAACTGATTCAAAGAAGAGATATAAATGAAATTAACTCTTTTAAGCATAGTATATTCACTATTTTGCACAACCCC